ACCCCCCCAGCTCCCCCAGCCGCTCCCCAGCAGCCTGGGGCTCCAGACCCCTCCCCAGCTCCGCTGCCCTTCTCTGGACACGCTCCAGGTCCTTCAGGGAGGGAGGGGCCCGATCCTGACCCCAGCAGTCGAGGGGCGGCCTCCCCAGTGCCCAGCACAGGGGCACGGTCCCTGCCCTGCTCCTGCTGGCCACACCACTCCTGATACAAGCCAGGATGCCACTGGCCCTCTTGGCCACCTGGGCACACTGCTGGCTCATGTTTAGCCAACTGTCAACCAACACCACCAAGTCCTTTTCCAGCCCCTCTGCCCCACGCCTGTAGCGTTGCATGGGGTTGTTGTGACCCCAGGGCAGGACCCGGCCCTTGGCCTTGTTGAACCTCACACAGTTGGCCTTGGCCCATGGATCCAGCCTGGCCAGGTCCCTCTGCAGAGCCTTCCTCCCCTCCAGCAGATTGACACTCCCACCCAACTTGGTGTCATCCTTGAAGCCATGGACTGATGGGTGGGAGAGCATGAGGAGAATAACCCATTTCATGGGCAGAAATAGAAATAGAGCTTGGGACCACTGGCATTTCTTTCTTAGACTTCACCCCTTCAACCTTAAGTTTCTCCGTCCCTTGTTAGAGCTTCTGCCTTGGAGAATGAATGAGTCAGTAATTGGATGCACCGAAAAGGGGAGGAAAAGGTAACTGTTCATGGGCAGGAATAGCTCCGTGCTAATTGTAGCAATTAATTAACTAAACCTCCCTCTCCCAGCATACGGGCAGCATAGTGGAACGAGATCAGAAACTGCCAGGGAAGCCACAGTGCACATTCTTCTGGTTGTTCTCATTCCTGAGTGCGTGACTGCTTTATGCTGATCCAAAAGCCTTGCTGGGTCCGGCCCCAAAGCCAGGCTGTTCCCAGTTGGGTTAAATTCGCATCCCAGCCAGGGAAGCGCTCCATCACCAGCAAAGGCATTTCCTATCGCTGCCATCACACCCTGAATTACCTCCTACTTGAAGGGACACCCCACATCAGCTGAGCCCCAGCCACCGGCCGGCCACAAGTTTGCTTTTAACCCACCGGCGGTGGAGGAAAAACTCTTCAGCTTTTGGGGCAGTTTGGGTAGAAGCCTATTTCACCAGCTCCCCATGGCGGTAGGGAAAAGACAGGTTTTCAGTTGCTTTTTAGTATGATTTAGTGAGCAAACGGGCAACGTGAAAGTGGCTGCACCCAGTGGTGCAAACTGGCTGCAAACCCTCTGCACCGGCAAGGGACCGGGCTTGGGTGCTGCCCACGCTCCCGAAAGGCAAAAAAAAATTAAAAGGCCGGACAAATTTGTAGCCTTTGATGCTTCTTTGGAGCTCAACAGGAGAGTGTAAATTGTCTGGTGCTTGCTTTTCACATTAGTCCTTCATGTCCTGTCTAGACCGGGGGACTCTAAAGATTAAGAACGAGGCTGGAGTTTAGGGCAGTTTAACGTCGTGCCATGGTTAGCTGCTGGTTTAGCTGATCGCCGGCTGCGTTACACATCTGGTTTGTCGAAAGGAAGCTCGTTTCAGCCTCAGGGACCTAAATGTCAGTGAAGTGGCGGGTGCCTCTGGCTGCCCCAGCGCCGCCGAGGAGCAGCTGCTCCGCAAATCCGCCGCGGTGGCTTCGTTCCCCACCCCGACCTGAAAATAATTGCAGAGCAGCGCGATTGCATCTGCTGGGAGAGGGGAAATTAAATTCACTCTAAGGTGTTTACCCAGACTGTGGCAAAGCTCTTTGTTTCTGTTAACACCTATTTACTTTGAGAGCTAATTACTATTTTTGAACAAGCAGAGCCTCGCAGGATCCCGGCTGCTCCGCGGGTCCAGGGAAGCTGACGGGGCTCGAGGAAAGTAGATTTGCTGCTGGCTCAGCACTGCTTTTACATGGCAATTTGCATGGCTGCCACCTCAACCAGCTTGAATACAGCGGGGGGGAGACCTGCCAGGGACCCCGAGCCACGGGCTGCGGGAGAAACGCAGGCGCGTGGGTATTTCGAACCATCTGCATTTTCCCTGCCCTAGTGGGCAGGCAGCCAGGGCTCAGCTGTAAACTGGATTTTCTCATATGCTTTGTTTGTTGGAGTTAAAAAAAAAAAAAAAAAAAACAAAACCGAATCCCACTCAACATATCTTGCGTGCCATTAACCCTTTCTGGAGCTGATGCTTTGGCCAAAACCCCGCCGTGT